ACCACAACAGACCAGACATCACACTCATTGACAAACACAATAAAATCACATACATTATAGACATAGCCATTCCAAACACTCACAATGTACAAAACACATGCACTGAAAAAAATAGCAAGTACACAGAACTCGCCCAGGAAATAAGGCATCTGTGGAAGATGGATATGGTGCTTATTGTACCTGTCATTCTCTCCTGTACTGGTGTGATACCACACACACTACACAAAAGCCTGGGAACATTACAGTTGAATAGAAATACATACATCACACTACAGAAGGCCACTATATTGAATACATGCCACATTGTTAGGAAATTCCTGAATACAGACACTGCTATACTTATTTAATTTTAGTTTTGTTTTGGTTGCTATGCCTTGACTCTGGTTTGGCATAGTACATAGCCACCGGTGTGAACCGAGTATAACTCACAAAACCCAACATAATAATAATAATAATATATTGGACCAAAAAAACGTAATTTACAAACTCAGTTGCAACTGCACTATTCCCAAATCTTATATAGGTGAAACTGGTAGAAATCTGAAGATAATAATTGTAACTCAGCTGTTTCTATTCATTGTAACAACGAAGGTTGCCAAATCATAAAGGAAACTGTAAGGTTTCCTTTATGAGTTATTGAAACTTGTTATTATATTATTATTATTCATTTTCATCGGGAAGATATTTCAAAGTTTCTTTTCAATTCTATTTATTTATTGGAGTGTTTGTGGATACACGATATTTTTTGTTTTTCCGTCTGGTGCGTACACGAATAAATCAGAAAGTTTTTCGAGGCGTGAAGCTGGCCACATACAGTTATCCATGTGAGAAGCACGGATTCTCCAAATCTAGCCTACACACTTGCAGCGATTGTCAGAAGTGCGATATTCAACATTTTTATATACAGTATATTTTTTTATTCCTTTACAATTTTAATTATTTAATTGCTCCTTCCTCTCTTCCTTGGCATGTTGTGAAATTTCTGATAGTTGGATAATAAACCGTTTTATTGTAATTTGTTTTTTTAAATTATTTTGAGTCGATATTAAAATTTGGAAAAGGGGGATCCCTAGATCGGTATAATAGGCGAATTTCCTCCTACAACTTCGGTTGTTGTTCGGGATACAGTTAAGGTTTTAACAAAGTTCGAGCGAATACATAATTAGCAAAAAATAGTTGAAATAAAGTGATTAAACAAAAATTATTACAAATATCGTAAATAACAGTTCACAAATGCATATATAGGGATATTTTTTAAAGGAGGGAAATGGTCTTCGCAATTTGAAATCGATCGAACTCCATGAAATGTTCGTATACACTCGCGCCATCTATCGTAGGATAAACGTACTATGCCAGAAACCTTCGCAGGAGTATATTAAAGAACTTCCGAAAGTTTCATGACAATCGGATAAACGGTGTGGTAATGCATGGACATACAGACAGACATACATTCATTTTTATATATATAGATGTATCACTAAGATTGTTGGATGTTTAAAATTTTTACTTAGAATTGTCCTTTGTTTTCTTAAATTAATTTATCAAAATCCATTTATTTATTACGTCGGCTAGTCCGAGAAATCCATTGGCAATCAAATAAAAAAAAATTGTAGGTTTCTAATTCTAAGCCGGTTCCAGTAGCAGTCAGCGGTGCCCAACCATTCTGACCTCACGGACCACTATCATAAATATTTTTAACGATAAAAACATCTATAGAATAATAATCACAAACGTTCAATTTTATTTTACTTTATTAATACAAAATTTTGTTTAATTTCAAATAAATGTGAAGTTTGTTGCTGCTTCGAAATAAGTTTATGGATTCTTAAATCTTTTCCACGAAGGACGACGATCTCACTCACATTATTAAAAAAAGGTTTGACTTAAGATTTCGTCTATGAATAAGATAGCCAAAAGTTTACATTAACTTTTACTATTCTTCATATTGAATATCATTTTAAAAAAACTAAAAAGGAACTTAAAATTAAACTCGGGTCTACAGTTTGTATACGCTGTACATTATGGTTTTATTTATGGTTTTATGCTTTTCAGTAAGATACTGAAGATGGCCGAGATGACAAAAACGTTTTGGCGTCTCAAAACATTTTTGCATTGGGCATACCGGTTTGTGGGATCCAGGATCGAATCCATGCGAGATACCTCTGAAATATTTACTGCAGTCTCTCTCCCACAAGTCCACATTTCTCATCATTTGGCCACACCGATTATGGCCCTGGTCGAATATATTATGAGTATGACATTTTTAGTTGATTTTACTCTCCCCGTCAAATGGCCATAAGAGTAAGAGAACTTTACCCAGGCCCAAAGTGAGGATGACAATGGAGGAGGTCCGACATATCTGGGAAAGACTACCCCTGTAAATTTATTGAGATTCTTGATCCGGACATCAACACGTGTCCCTTTGAGCAGCAGGCTGATGCCTTTTTCACCTGGAGCCTCCGGTCATCAAGATGATAAGTATGATTAAAAATTCCTTCTTAGAGTGCCCACAGATGGAAAGATTGAAAATGAAAACAAAATTAAATAAGTTTAATTTAAAGCCAAAAATAATTTTTTAAATATTTATTTATCGACTATTACAATAATTAATTAACAGATATAAACATAAGTAGATTATTGATTGAATTTAATAAATAATTTTAACGTATAAATATTTACTAAGTAAATACAACGTGTTAGTTGGCAACAAGCGATAGTAATGGGGCAGATGGATGAAATTGGAAGCGATATAAATACAAATGTAAGTTACTGTTTTTACTTCAAAAATACTTTTAAAATAAGTGAATAATAAGATATAATTGTTATTTTATTTATAAATCTTAAATAAAACGTGAAAAATTACTTTGTTGGTAAGGGGGCGTATACTGAGATATCAAAAGCATTCTATGTTGAATTAATGCTAATCTTTTCATAATTAATTACATTTTGTCATAAAACTTTCTCTCTCTCTTTTATTTTTATAAGTATTATAGAAATAAAAGGTACAACACAGTTTAATTACAGAAAAGACTTTTGGTAAATTTTCTACTGGTTTTTTTTTTCCTTTGGAGGGTGCCAGGATCCCTTGGCTCCCCCTTTGAGTATACCATTGCTCTTCATTATTTTATATATTGATATGAGCTATATCTAGGCTTGCCATAAATCTCATCAGTAGTGTGGGTAGCAAGTCGGATACATATATAGTTTGTATTGTCAAATTTTTTTGTTTACAGATACTAAACTTTGGGGTGCAATTCCCTCAGATGCAATAAGTATGCAAATATTACAGTTGATATTGTAACAGTGGTGTATATAATTCTATAAGATTTAAATACTCTTTATTATTTTCTTAATGTGTTTCCTCTATTGGTAGCCTAAAGACTTCTAATAGCGAGGAATGTTATTGATGATGATTTTTAAAATCTTGGACGAATACCAGATAACTGTATACATTCTAGAATATCCACGGATGCGTGACAAACCTAGTTATAGCTATCATATGTAAATTTTTGAGATTATTGCTGATGTAGATTTGAACATTAATAACTATTTTCAAACATGTAAACCTGATGATTACTTTTGAATATAGTCAAAAACATTTGTTAATGATTAAAGTTTTTTATTTGCTGGAGTTTTTAGAAACATTTGTTGAGTATTAACAATTTTAGTACATGAATAAAATCTTGATTTTAATTATAAATCTCGTGATGATTTCCAAATGAGAATCTATTAGTAGACATACTAAGACTAAAATGTATGATGAATAGAGAATTATAACAACCATTTTTAAAAATCAAATGATTTAATGAAAAGATTGTGACAATTTATTTGAAATACTATTTTATAATAAAATCCTTGAATTATTCATTTTAATGTACACTCATTGACAAAAAAGTTTCACACCAAAGATGTGTGTGAATCAAATAAAACTTGCATAATTGAAGTCAAAAGAAAGGTGTACACCACACAGATCAGAAACTGACAACAGAGTGATAAAACAAGTATTGTTAAACAACTTTGCAATATATATTGATAGATTACTTTAGTTCTCACTCAAGTACTTTTGGTTAAGTGAATTTAACTTTTATCAGGTCAGTACACACAACCTTGTTTAGCAACAAAAAAAAAAGTTTATTAAATTGGAAAAAAAATACTTTTATTCATATTTAACTTCTGTCATCAGTAAATTACATCACACCATACTGAGATATATGTATTCATGTTTGTTCCAAAGGATGTTCTATTGTACCTGAAGAACTCAGGAGGAGTTAGAAAATGTTTGTGCAGAGATCATTTTTTTGTTTATATACACTGGAAATTGGTTCTGTGTTTGTTATGACTATCATCAGGTTAAAGTTTCAAAAATCTAACATTTATAAATACTAATAGAAATAGAACAGAAATATGTAAATGCCAAACTTGTTTGTAGATTTTCTCATTTTTTATATTCAATCTGCTACATTGCTGTGATGTGCAAAAAACTATTAAAAAAATAGTAACAAAATGCCCATCAGGTTACATTGTGTAGATCTCAAACTAGAATTCTCAAAGTAGAATTTTCAATTGAAGTCCTTATAGTTGACAGTTTTCCTTACATGTTGATTTTATAGATTTTAAGGGCCTCAACATGTATAAAGTAATGCTTGTTTCTGATACACTTGGTGACCTTAGCTTTATCCTAATAAACCTTGGCCAAATTGTCCAAGCAACCAGGACTTAACCTTTTTTTTTTTTAACTATAAAATGAAGGATTGCATGATGGTTTTGACATCTACCAAGTCATGTACTGCTGTCAACTGTAATGGATACTGTGTAGTGTGAGGTCTCAAAAACAGGTTGAAATTAAACATTTATATTAGAAATTTATTAAAACAAAACTAGAGAGGGGGGAAAAACCTCCATTGTTAAAACCGATCAAAGATCAGATTCAGTTGTTCTAGTCATATGAAACCAAGATGAGAAAAAAATACTATTAATGTAAAACATGACACAATAAATATAAACAAACATCCTCCACTAGAGATGGACCTTTGACAAGGCGCTCATATACAAATAATTAGAACAGAAAATCTTGAAGATGGGAAAGATTAATTATAAAAGGGGACATTGCATCAGGTTGTTAAAATTCTAAGACGGGCCTGATGACTGAGTGGTCAAGGTGGCAGCCTACCACTCTGGGGGACCCGGGTTTGAATTCGAACTGGTCGAAAAATCCCCAGGAATTTTTTGGGGGGTGGTCCATTCGGATATGTCTGGCTCCGTCCCTCATCATCCGGCAGCCCCATTGTGTTCCTGGCCAAACCCATAATGGGTTTGCAAAAAGAGGCCCTCTTAGTGCCCACAGGGCAGAAAGAGTTTTAAAAAAATAATAATAAATTCTAAGACATCATCGACTAGACAATGGGGTAAAATGAGCACAAGTTCAAAATCCCATCTACACCTTCCATCCAGAGTTAATGGATGGCGTTGAGTAAATTTCCTGAAGCGTACCTTCTCAGGACCCGAACTGGTCTCTTCTTTCGCTTAGGGACAAACGTGGAATCAATCAGGATGGACAGAAAGGGGAGACCGGAGATTGGTGTAATCACTGATCACAGAGGACTCGGCAAGATGCACTTGATGAGTCAACACAAAGGAATAAAAATTGGAAGCACTGTCAACAAACTGGGGATGAATTATTTCCATCTTGGTGCCGGTACCAAAGCCATACTGTCACCAACACCGACCAACAGTGTCTCACAAACTGTTTAACAACACTGCCCTGGGGCCACCTGTACAACAAACAACTAAAAGAGCATTGACACTCTCTACTTCCAACCAGCTAATTGTGTCTAGAAAATATTTTTCTTAGTGTAAGTTTACTTTTATGCTAAAATAAACTGGTTTTTGTAAGATACTTGTCATCTCTGTCTCCTCCTTCACACCCACACGTGAATATTGCTAGATCATCCTGACATGGGGATTAATGATCCTTCCCTAAAAGTTGGCTTGCTTGCAGTAGATACCCAAATTTTTAAGAAATCCACTGGATCTTTGTCATTCCACAGGAATTTATAAACTAAGATTCTTCTTGTACAAATATTTTCCTGCTTGTAGCTTTCCCAATTTTTTACATGTTACTGAGGTTTGTACTTGACTATTCTACAGTCTGCTTTTGTAATGTTACATCTGTTTACAGATGGGGTGTATGATCCTAGGATAATAACTGAGATTCTTCCCAAGTGTTTTAATGTAGCAGAGCTCTTTCTATTAACAACAGTTGTCAATGTGATGGTCATTAAGTATGTCTGAAAACATTAGGTTTTTTCTTTGGTTTAATAAACTTTTTGCTACTGTACAAGTTGTGTATATATGGTTGAGAAATATACTGTAGCAATTATTTTATGAATCTTCATCGGGATCATACAAACAGAAAAGAACAGAACATTAAATTTAAAAGTTGAACAAAGCTCTTTATCATTGTTTTTCTTACTACTAACATTCACTTTATATCAGAAGTGGCAGTAATAAAGAGAAGTGGAAAGCTAAACCAGATATAAATAACTTCATTGATGCAATGAATAATAACCCGTATGGCCTCTGCATTAAACTAGACCAAATAAGCAATTCAAACGCTACCTTCCTAGATATCAACATACAATTAGAAGGCAATATGATATCAACTAGGGTCCATTACAAGCCATGCTACACACCTCGATTTATCCCTGCCAGTTCGGATGATCCATTTTCGTACAAGGTCGCAGCATTCCGGGCCCTAACCAAGAGAGCTTTCACACACCACACAAACTTTGAAGATACATTAGCGGAGTTACAACACATCCAGAACATAGCCACACAACATGGGTATGGAAAAAGATTAATTCAAAACCTGGCGTTGGCCTACTCATCACGTGTATACAACGATAGCTCACGCACGAACAACTCGAATAATTTTCAGTGTGTAGCGGTGGTTGAATATAACCGCCACCTGGATCCGATTTACAGAGAAATTGCGAAGCGTATAAAGAAAAGAATAGCATATAAGAGGCGTAATACTATTTACAACATTCTGCGCAATAGCAAAGACAACATAGACGAAAGGTATGCACTGGGAGTGTATTCTGTCCCGTTAAGAGACCATAGATTTCAAAGGGATCTTATATATATTGGCTCCACCATACGCTCTNTACTAATTACATGGGATATAATAATATACTACACTAATAATGGATTTTTTCATACTTTTCGGTTATCCGACTTTTCAATTATCCGACCAACCCCAGTCCCCAATTAGGGCGGATAATCGAGGTTCTACTGTATACTAATTACATGGGATATAATAATATACTACACTAATAATGGGTTTTTTCATACTTTTCGGTTATCCGACTTTTCAATTATCCGACCAACCCCAGTCCCCAATTAGGGCGGATAATCGAGGTTCTACTGTATATTATTTCCCTACCTTAAATAAATTAATTACTATTGAAAAATATTTTTGGTTTCATTCTTTTTCATACAACCAACCGTTATGTACAGCAGAACAATCCCAATTCTGAAACATATATTCAAAAAATCGACGAAATTTTTGTGACGTCGCAGTGCCGGAGTACAGTTGTTTTAATTTATTTTATTTAAAATAAATGCTCTGGGTTTTAGTAGTGTCTTGTCCCCTGTATAGCGTACTTTTCCTGTTAACGATAGAATCATGCCGATCACCTATCTAACTCCGTTTTGAAGAAAATATTTGAATTGAAGTCACATGACTTCCAGTCCAAACCG